ATGAAACAAAGGCAGCATATGTGAAAGAGTTGCCAAGGAAAGTGAACCCTGTGTAGAATGAAGCCAGGCTATAGCTGGGACAGTTTGTGTTACAATAGTGGTCTTACATGATATTTACTGTCTTTTGCTGTACTTTTATGAATCACTGTACCCCTGACTCTTCCACAAAGACACGCATATCATCTCACATAAAACATGTAGTTTTCAATAACTCTTCTCTACAGAAAATTCACATATCCTCTCACCCAGAACATGTCTTCTTTCACAAAGGTTCACATATCATCTCAGCAAAACATGCAATTTTTCAAAGGCTCTTCCACAGAAAATTAACATATCTTCCCACACAAACCCCTTCTTTCAAAGATCCTTCCACAGAATATTCACATATCATCTCACACAAAGCATGTCTTTTCAATAGCCCTTCTCTACAGAAAATTCATTCATCCTCTCACCCAAAACATGTCTTTTTACATGCCTTCTTTCACAAAGGTTCACATATCCTCTCACCAAACTCTCACCCAAAACATGTCTTTTTGCATGCCTTCTTTCACAAGGAATCACATATCCTCTCACCAAACCCATGCCCTTTTTCAATGGCTCTTCCACACAAAATTCAATTCACGTATCTTCCCACACAAACCATGCCTTCTTTCAAAGGCTCTTCCACAGAGAACTCACATATCTTCCCACACAAACCATGCCTTGTTTCAAAGACTCTTCCACAGAGAATTCACACATCCTCTCACCCAACACATGTCTTTTTACATGTCTTCTTTCAATGAAACAAAGGCAGCATATGTGAAAGAGTTGCCAATGTTGCGCAACATTTGGAATTTGTCGCGCAACATTTCCCTGGACCAAAAAACAAAAAACAAAAAACAAAGACTCCCAGCCATGGTGGGGGCTAGGATTGATTTTTTTGTTTTTTGGTTTTTGGGTGTTTTGTTTTTTTTGGTCCACAAAATGGCCTTGCCGAAAATGCATGAGTTCAATCAAAATACACTGTAAATATCAATGGTTTTGATACATGATGCAAAAACACCTGGGTACTGGGGGGGGGTACCATATATATATATACATAGTCGTATGTACAGATTTTTGCTGTTCTGTGGACATGTGTATGTGTGTGTGTGTTTCTGTGTCTCACTGGCCATACTGAGTTCAATCGCATCTCAAAGCGGGTGCAATGCGGTCATCGCCAAGCTTCGACTCCCGTCAGGCCTTTCTTTGCAAGCAGCAGTTCATTCGCAACCATAGCGATATCATTCACTTGGGCTGGGGCATCTTGGCAGAACACGGCCTTCATTGCGACCTTTTTGTTTCTCTTCCCAGTGTCAGGTACCTTAGTTGTTTGGCGGAGTCTGTTTCCGTTTCGTTATTGAGCGGACACACCCAAAAAGGGTTCCGATTCTTGCCGGCGTCACAAGCCCGGGAGAATGTTGGCGTCGCCAGTACGCGCATGGACAAGTTGCAGTCACACCCAGCGCCTATGCAACGTTTGCTGGCACTGGAAGACATGCAGTGAGCATAGAGGTATCAGCAAGATCCCATGGTCCGAGCATGTTGACTGGGATCCAAGGTGTGGACATGGTCACGCCTCGGGCGTGCTCCATGAAGGTTGGCATTTTCGACTCCATGACCATGCGCAAGAACCGTTTAGACTCGGAGTCGCGCCTTGGCACAGATTTCCATTGCGCTGAGCGCGAGTTCCACTCACATGGCGGTGTTTTGTTTTAATATTGTTTTGTGGTTTGTTTCAGAAGGAAGCCAAAGGGAACGGAAAACTATCCGTGCATGGAGGGGTTCTCATTTGGAAACTAACCCACATATGTGCCAGCGTCAGGGTTCCCATGGGCGCATGGCTCCCCGAATGGTAATATTGCAATTGTTTCCTAGAATGCCCATCAATCGCCCATCAATCGGCTGGTCGACATCCCAAGACGTTTGAGGCTAGATTTCCGTTCGGCTGCTCGGCCGCTTTTGGATCCTCATGGAGTCTACCCCTTCTTCTTCCCCTTGCAGTCAGCATGAATTTTCAGGTTTGGGTTGCCAATTAATTGCGTTGCACAAGTAAGTTGCTTGTTTAAAAAAACCATGTTTTGGAACTACGTAGGCGATAAACCACGAGTACGGAGCCGTTGCTTCAATATAACATCGAATCAACAAGTGACCTCAAAGACATTTGATGTGTCAAGATATGGTGACCCCCCTAAAATGGCTTCGGTTTTCTTGTTGGTGTCCCGTTAAACCAACCTCCGCTGCAAAAAGCATGAGCCGCACCCAGCTGCTTCGTCCCAAGATCCTATGACTACAAAGCTGCGCGGGCTGAGATGCATTACTTGCTGGCCCGCAGCACGCCTTTCGGACGGAATGGGTCTCAAACTATAGGACCCCCCCCAATGACTAGTTTCCTCTTGATTTCGTTTCAAAACAGCGACAGAAGGGTTACCTCAAAAGAAGACACGTCGGCGTCGCCAATATTGAAACCGCCAAAATGAGCCGTAGTTGGGGTGCTGTAATTGATGTCAGCTCCTGGTATTGCGTGGTGTTTGTAGACAGTGGTTGTCCTAAAAAGGATGAGGCAGTCAATGGCAGTCATGTTCCCCTTGAACCGTTCTCTGTGCCTACATGCTCTGCAAACACAATATCTCGGCCAGATAAAGCTGACAGAGGGCATGTTTGGAAGTGAACATTTTCGGAGTTTGTGGTTTATGATTGGGCCAATTAACTCATCCTTTTAGCAGTCGCAAACCAAAGCCAGGCGACGGGAGCAGGGATCGTGTTGCAGAGGCCTTGTAGTCGGCAGTCCCTAACAGCAGGGTAAGTCAAAAAGCCGCCGCAGCGAGATCCACCCTGAGATATGCATCTTGGCTCTCTTAAGTTCTTCTTGTTTTGTTTAAACAAAAAATACATATCACAAAACCGAGCATATGCATTGGCCAATGTTTGCACTTGACCTTGCTCGGCCTTGACACTTCGAGAATTCCCAGGCTTCCACATGCTTCAATGTTGTGGCTGTATGCGTGGCCAAAGGAAAATGGATTGAGTCACTGTTCAAAGCCAACCCCTTTGTCACTTGGTTTTTCCAAATTCTCTGTTGCGTCAAGGTTCCCAAAGGTGAGTCAACCTGTTACTTTCGTGTTCCTTGGGCAAGTAAGATCATGGTGCCCCAAACTGTGCGCCTTTAGGCAGGGTTCCTTGGTGAGTGACTCTCTAAGGTGAATTGAGCAGACTTGGCGTTCGGTCAATACGTAGCAATGTGGCCACTGACAAACTTCTTGAATTTGCCTGAATCAATACAAGAAGCGCATCAGTCGCCAAGGCCGACTCCGAGCTATGTGCAACACTTCGAAATCCTTGCTGTGCTTACCTGAAAGGTGCACGGTGCTGATGAATTGGTTCGCATTTTGCTCATGGAGTCCCTCCAAATCTGCGAGGATAATGAGAATAGGTTTCTTTTTGCCCATTGCAGTATTTGTCCATGGGCCCCCAAGTCGATCAGTCCGTCTATGTCCTCCTGCGGGGATGCCAGCTTTCAATGCTTGCAAGCCAATGGAAGTAGACTGGAAATCACCCTCTGCCGCCGCAAACTGGCCCGATTCGATAGGAGATGTGCGCGACTCAGGTCAAAGTACGGCTACATCCACGAGTATCCCAACCTCCTTGGCTACTTCGACGTGGAACCTCCCTTAATCAGGCGAATTTGGATTCGGATTTGGTTGAGAAAGCACAGGTTTGCAAAACTTTTGCAGTGCACATGGATTCCGTTTAAGGAATGCTGTTGAAACTGCTGTGATCCGTTAAATATAGTTGGCTTCGAAATATGCAATGATGCCTGAGACATTGGCCCGAAGTTGTCCTTTGCGAGGCGACAAGAGGACGCTTCAATACCAATGCATCAGACACTGCTGCTGGTGTTGCTGGCAATGCTTGTAGCCGGCCTTTTCCTGAGCTTGGGTGATTTGTCCGACCTGGGAGTGTGCCTCACTTTCTGCGCCCTGCAACTCTTCCACGTTTTCCTCCTCAAGCACCATGGCCAGACTTAGCTTACCTGTTTTCTCTTTTCGCCGTTTTCGGCTTTTCTTTGTCCACAAGGCAACAAGTCTGTTGGGTGTCCAATTCCCGGAGGTACCTCCTCTCGGGGGCTCTCAACGCCCCGGCGCCCTTCGCCTTGGCCGTGCCGCAGCTCCTCGCTGCCGCGGCCGTGGGGGCCGTCCGGGCGCGATCTGCGCCGTTTGCGGCGACGTCCCACGGGGCGTTGGCGGCAGCGGCCGCGGGCGGAGCGAATCTGAGCCTGGCCTTCCTGGACCTGCCGCTGGTGCCTGAGCCAGTGAGATAGCACGATTTTGAGGAGATGGTCCTCTTATTTTTCCCGCTATAGGCTATATAGGTTTAACAACAGAAAAACACATGTTCGTTTCGTCTTTTGGGGAAGTGGAAGGGGGAGGATTGAGCTTTGTGGTCACACCTTGGAGCACAGCGATCTCAGCAGCGAACACAATATATTATCTACATCAATGGCTGGCAAGCATTCCGGGGTGAGCAAATGAGCTCGCGGATGACCGCAAGCTACAACCAGCAAGCGAATTAGCTGGGAGTTTCCTAACGTAGCGCCAGTCGCTTGAGATGCTAGTGTCAAAGGAAAGTGGTGCAGTGTCAAAGGAAAGTGGTGCCCTCCCTTTTAGAGGTCCAACCCCCCCAGTCAGGTTCCAAGCAAATTGTGCCTGCAAATTCGAAGCAAGGCCTGTCCCGTTTTTTGGGGTCTCCCCGAAGGCTAAAGGGGTTGGTTTCAAAGCAACCCAAAGGAAACCTATTTCTGAGACTTGCCCATATAGTGTTTGTTGGGGTACACTATTTCCCTTTGTTTAAATCACAGCCAGAAGGATCGATCACCCGTTTTTGCGTGCCATTTTCGCACGCGTCTGATGTGTGGAGGTTTTGGCACTTCGCTCCAGCGGGATCTTTCTGGCCACGGCTCTTCTCCGCAGAAATCCAGGGAGGCTCCACTTGGCTTTGCTGTCGCTGACTCTGCTGCTGAGCCTCGACAATGCAAACCTTGGGTTTGATTCTGGGGCAGCTTCAGGGTTTGATGGTTTCTGGGCTTTTGCTTGCAGCGCTACTTTTTCGTTTCTTCAAACCAATGTGTCGAGATCATAATGTGCAGTCGCTTTCGAGCGACCAGATATTGCCAACACATTGCCAGTCCTAAAAGTGTATGTAGACCACATGGCTGAAACTGGCGGCATGCCGGCCATCTTACATCTAAAACACGTGCGCTCTGGGTCCTGGTGGTCAAACTGGATTTGCTCAGGGTTCCCCGGGTCCAAGCCCTGGACTTGCAGGACGCTTGGCCTGCTCTCCTCGGCTCCGTGGTCCCTTGGCACCGCCCTTGGCGTCCTTGGCGCTTTTGCCGCGGCGCCGCCGCAAGACTTGGCCGGACTGGGCGATGGCCCGGCAGCTTCCCGGGCGAGCGTGGGGGCGCTGGCGCTGGCACTGCCGGCGTTGCGCCCGGGAGAGAGATGGCTGTGGGTCAAAGCCAATGGTACCAGTTGGGGGAGGTGAACCACCCATTTTAGTCTATTTTAGTGGGTTGGGATGTTCACTGGGGGTACGGGCTTTTGGCCCATGGCCAAATGAGGTGCTTTCCTCAAGACGATGGCATTGCTTGTTGGCCCTTGGCGCCTTGTACCTCCATATTTGAGGGTATCCTAACTTTGACCACCCCCTAAAGTGGGCCTCGCGATCTGGTGTTTTTTTTTGGAGGTTCGCGCTGGAAAAAACACATGGCGAAAGGGATGTAGATGTGCTTGGTGTTCCATGAAGCTATGTCTCTTGTTTGACCTAGATGATGATGCCCTTGTTTGAGTAGTAACAGGGGCTAACGTCGGACCAGGGCCGCTTGTACAAAACTGGGTCTCCTCATCGAATCCTGTGACTGCTTTGGGGTTCGCTACTATAGAAGTTTGTTTTTGTTCTTTTCTTTTTTTCGCGGGGAACAAACAAAAGCAAGACAAACATTCGGACAACAAACGACGGCACAAATACCAGATCAACGCCTTTGCCTTTTACGTTAAAGGCTGGTTTATCTAAGCCCTTCCCGCTAAAAGCCTTACTTAGATGCAGGATCGTCCGGGTCTTATACATATCCCTTATAAAAGCAAGACTGTGTTGGGAGTCCGCTGTACTGGCAAGCTATTTTCCTGCGGGTGTGGTGAATTTCAGATCTGGGAATCTGAGATTCAGTCTTCGCAATTTATGATTTGGGCTTGGTAATTCTAAATGAAAGTACTGGGAATCTGAGAGTAAGTGTTGGCAATACTTAATTTAGAGACTTGGCAATACTAAATCAAACACTCGGAATCTGAGAGTACGTCTTGGTAATACTACGTTTAGAATTGCCAACTCGAAATTAAGCAGTCGGAGTCTGAGAGGAAGTCTGGCAATACTGAAATTAGAATTGGCAATACTCAATCATTGACTGGCATACTTCTTGGCCATACAAAATTATTTGGAATTGACAATGCTGAATCAAGTACTGGCAAGATCAAGCCCAACCCAGATTCCAGTTATTTGGGCCCTTACAGTATCCTTCCCAGAGTTATTTTGCAGGTCAACCTGGGTTTCGAAGCGAACAACTTTGCCGGCGGGCACAACTTGTAGTCTCTACGCAAGGGCCCAGCATGCTTGTTCCCACATGCTCCGACGCCGCTGTCGTTCCTCATGTGTCAGAGATATAGAGATTGGTTTAAATTGTCTAGGTAAATTCCCAGTTGTAGTATTCAGGTACTTCTTTTTGCCTGGTTCTTCTTAGCTTCGAGGTGACAACTCAGAATTGGTGCCCTAACTTCCAAACCTCAAAACCACCAATTGAAGATACGTGGATTCCATGCGGATCTGAGGATCTACCCGCACCCGACCGCCAGCGGCCTCCAGACAGACTGGCAAGTGCTGCAGCAGGTGCCTTTGTCCAAACCTTGGGAGCTATGCCATCGGCTTGGGAGCATCGCATCTCGCATCTCGCATGACACGTCTAAGTGACATGACACCTCCTGGGTCAATTTGTCATGGAGAGTAAATATTCCTTGGCTGAGCGTAGATGGCACTTGGGTTATCAATGCCTGCCGAAGACACCATGTTCACACCCGTCAAGTGGCGACATGCAAAAATACCACTGCGTGTTTCAGCAGAGCAATTGATTGAACAGCAAATAAACAAATGCATTTTGATGAAAGCACCAGCACGTACAACGCGTCAAATGATGAACAGAGGTGACAAAGATCAAACTACGCGGACTGTTGCCCATGTTCGCCGGACGACGTGAAGGGAATTCACCATCTCTCCTGTGCTCAGAATCGGATTCAGCCTCGAGCAGCATGATGTGTGCAACCTTTATCCAATATGCAGTTGCTATATTATGGTTGTTTTACTCGTTTGTTCCCTATCTCTGATGGTTTGGGGGTTGGAAAAGTCTGAGTCAACATTGACATCTGTTTTGGCTTGCATGTTGGTTTCCCTTTTCAACGAGAAACCTCGGATGCCACCCCAGTTTCAGCCAGATGAGTTCAAAAACTTCCACCACAGCTGGTTTCCCAGAAATAAGCCCAAGACAGGTCCGAAATGCGCCAACATGTTGCAACCACATTGTTTGAACTGTTCAGTTGAAGTTATATTTTTTCTTGCACTTAAAACAACACAACGGTTGACCTTTGCGCGCCCTTTTTCATGAACTTTTGACTGTTCCTGTCTTATAAGCTATTTTGAGTCATAACACTGTTGTCTGTGTTGGGTGTGGCATCCAAGCTGAGCCATAATCAAAACCCGGGTATATGAAGGTTAGTAAGGGGCAGTCCCAGCTGGAGATAGTTGCGGCTGCTTTCTTGATTCTTGACATGGTTCTGGGTAGACCATTGCAATACCGGGTTTTGATTGTGACTGAGCTTGCCACTCGCAGTCCGATCCGTGCGATCCGTGGGATCCGTGAGGTGGGTCTGGGGCGCGCGGCGGCTGCGGGCGCCATCGCGGCGGTCAGCGCCGGCAGCTGCGAGGCGGCCAGGGGCTTCTACCGGCAGATCTCGGTGAAGCAGCAGGAATGGGTGGGGTGGGTAGGTGGGTTGGGGGATGGGGGGGTGAGGGATGGAGGTTGGAGGTTGGAGGTTGGAGGTTGGAGGTTGGGGGTTGGGGGTTGGGGTTGCGGGTTAGGGGTTGGTGGGGCCTACGCAGATTCTGTCGGTCACTTCGACAGCCTTCCGTTTTTAGGGGGTGCGGGTGAACACACCTGAAGCAAAGTGCAACCTTTCTCAATAATTGAAAGTCTGTTTCTGGAATCAGAGACCTATAACTGAGACCTATAACTGTTCTCGACTATCCAGGACCTTGTTGGAGACACGGGTAATGGACAGCATCCCGCACTACCTCATCTGGACAAAGCTCACACATATTGAACTAAACCACCTACTAATTAGTGCGAAGTTGATTTTATCAAGAGTATGATTTGTTTGAACAATCTACAACCATGGAGACACTATTGCGCCTTTGTCTTGCAACGATCGTGGGCCTTCAATGTTGGCATCGTGAGTTTTCACCCAGGGCCGACCTTGGTTTTAACTTGCAGCCATTTGGGTGTGCTTTTCACTTGTGGTGACCTTTCTTGCAGGGTTGCTTTCAAGGAAGCCATAGGGAAACCGCCGATTTGGGGCTCTCCAATTCTGAAAACGATTTGAACCAATGTTTGGTGCAGCACTTGATGTTCTTTTGAGGGGTCGCATCAACGGCAAACCAAAGGGAAACATTAAACAAAAAGGGACCTGGGCAATTCCATATTTGTAGACCTATCCGGGGCTCTCAAAATGGGATTCACCCTTTGCCAAACCCTTCCCTAGAAGCCCAAGACCCTAAATATGAGGGCCTGTGACCCCCAAAGACAATGGACAATAAGGTCCTGGGCCCCTAGGGCTTGCCCATTTTAAGAAACTGCCAGGCTGCGGTCTTCAGCCTCCTGGGCGGTGCCTCTCTGGCGGCGGTTTACCTCTTGGAGGATTCGCCTCCCCTGGGTGCCGCGGCGGGCGGTTGCTGCGTGGCCTTGGCACTGGCGGTGGCCTGGGAGGAGGAGCTGGGCTCGCCGAAATCGGCTTGACAGGAGTTCTAAGGCCGTATGCTAGAAACTTTTAGGGTTCTTGTTTGCAACTTTCTTTGCCGCGTTCGGGTTTGCAAAATAGCCTTTCTTGGAGAATTGTGGTTGGGGCTATATGTCGTGTTGAAACATGTTCAAACGCTAATTCTGGGCGGAGGTGATGGCTTGTTTCACGCAGCACCACCTTTCCCACATTTTGTTCCTCAAGTGTCGAGCCCCCCACGTGACGTCTGGATCCACCCTTCTTGGCCGCCTGCCAAAGCATGGTTCAAGAGGAATGGCTACTATGAACTGGCTTGGTTTCGCAGTCTTAGCACCTCGTGGCCATTATTTTCCAAACTGAGTGAGCCGGTCTGGACGTTGCAACATGTGTCGCTTGTCCCGGCAGCGATTCTTGAGATAGACAGTTTGCCAGGTCACATGCTGTCCTTATTTCAATGGTCGGGGTAAGGAAACCCAAGAAAGCCCTCCCCCCGTTCTGGCACAAAGCCATGGTACAAACACCTGGCAACCTCCAGACGCTTTCTGTTGCAATCCACGAATTTACAGGGCATGTTGGGGTTGGGGGAGAGCGTGCGCATGCGAGGGGCCCCATCTTTTGTCCCCTGGAAGAATGGAGGGGTGAGCCTCATGGCCCGCAAGAGGACGGTTCGGTTTCTTGGATACATCGCCCTTTTCCTTTCTGCCCCCAAACAGACAAGCCTGATGCGCACCATGAGCTTAGCATGGACTGCCCCATGCCCAATGGATTTGCTGGGTTTTGGCCATGAGTGCTTCTCCGCCTTCAACATAAACACCGACAAAGCCCGAAGAGCGACAAATACTCGGTGCCCAACTGTTGCCGCACAACATGGGACTTTCTCCAAATGGTGGACCCAAAGTCTTTGGTTTCCTTTCAGTTGGCCTTTTTAAGCTGCCAAACAAGGGGTAAGCCCGAAAAGTCGCACAATAGCTGAGAGATGAGAAGGACACTCTTTGAGTGAGATTGACGTGAGGAGCCACGCGAGGAAGCGCAAAAGGGAGCGCATCTTGAGGGGACCTGCCTTCAGTTGATTTGATGCCGCACATGCTACGTGAAGCGGATGGATTAGACGGGCCAGCATCTACCAAGAGCATGATCAGGATCAAGGTAAAAGGCATGCCGCCGCAATGGCCCACATGAAAACACATTCCAGCTGGCCCTTCTGTTCCGACCTGCAAATCCCAAATCGCAGGGAGAGCCGATTGGCGAGAGATCAAAAGTGCCTTCGGTGCGCGGCGCAGCGAGGCTTGAGGGTGTCCTTCCAGATTCGTAGAGGTGCGATGGCCCTTTAGACGGGATCAGCTGTGACCTAAAATCCATGGGCTGTTGTTCACCAACCCTCCTTACCA